CATCCCCGCGGTCATGTGATCAAAATTCACAATGCTTGGCCACTGGCTTGTATTTACGACAGTTGCAGCATCCCGGGGGTCACGCGACCCCCTTTTTGCCACCGTCGGACAAACAACGGGGAAGTCAGCTTCACTTAAAAACCGTGTCGCTAACTTAAGAACCGCAGTGATTCGCTGAACGACGGTGGCGAGAGAGGTCGAAAAATGGGGGCAAAACCCATCTTGACAAACGTCTCGTTTAGCGACGGAAATGTGGGGCTCCATTGCGGTCATAAATCGAGGACTACCTGCAAATCAATGAAAGAAAGAAAAAAAATTGTGACGTTTCTTCCAGCAGATGGGGGCTACACAAACACAACACACAGCCGATTTTTAGAGTCCCCCCCACCCCCCCAGCCTGTCCCTCCCCTCCGAGGCCCCGAACAGCCCTGGGGCCCCTGACCTTGACAAACACGCCGAAGAAGAGATCGACGCTGAGCTCCTGCACCCGCTTGGAAGCCATCTTCCGATCGTTGCAGTGCTCCGCGTGCTTCTGCATCTCGGCCTTCTCCATCCGTGGGGCAGGAGCCAGCCCTGGAAAAGAGACACCTTCGGGTTGGAAGCCGCCTGGGAAAGACACCGGCTTCCCCCCCCCCCCCATTTCTGTGGGGCGGTAGGTACAGAGCACAGCCTTCCATCCTTCCGTGAGCTACGGAAAGAACCTGAAGCGGTTTTTGATTGGCCGGGAAAAGGAACATGCAAGGAGAGTCACTTTGGAGCAGGGATTAAGGGGTTGGGCTAGAAATCAGAAGACGGGGAGTAAAGCCGGCTGGGTGACTTTGGGCCAATCACCAGGAGACGGTGAGTTCTAGTCCCGCCTTAGGCATGAGAGCCAGCTGGGTGACTTTGGGCCAATCATTGGGAGACGGTGAGTTCTAGTCCCACCCTAGGCATGGAAGCCAGCTGGGTGACTTTGGGCCAGCTGGGTGACTTTGGGCCAATCACCAGGAGACGGGGAGTTCTAGTCCCGCCTTAGGCATCAGAGCCAGCTGAGTGACTTTGGGCCAATCACCAGGAGATGGTGAGTTCTAGTCCTGCCTTAGGCATGAAAGCCAGCTGGGTGACTTTGGGCCAATCACCAGGAGACAGTGAGTTCTAGTCCCGCCTTAGGCATGAAAGCCAGCTGGGTGACTTTGGGTCAATCACCAGGAGACGGTGATTGAGAGTCGGCTGAGAGTCGGCTGAGAGTCGGCTGAGTGACTTTGGGCCAATCGCCAGGAGATTGGGAGTTCTAGTCCCACCTTAGGCACGAGAGCCAGCTGGGTGACTTTGGGCCAATCACCAGGAGACGGTGAGTTCTAGTTCTGCTTTAGGCCTGAAAGCTGGCTCAGTGACTTTGGGCAATTCTCTTCCCCCCCCCTCTCTCTGTGTCTGTCTGTCTCTCTCTCTCAGCCTAATCTACCTCAGAGGGCTGTTGTGGGAAAAAGAGAAGGATGAAGGTGTGCTGGATATGTTCGCCTCCTGGAATTATTTGTAAAAATAATAAAGATGAGATGAATGAATGAATGAATGAATGAATGAATGAATGAATGAACGAACGAACGAACGAATGGTGGTTGGAATCTGGCAACCTATCCAGTGACACCATCAGGATCTTTATGCTCTGACCTGGCAGAAGAGAAGATCCGGTACCGGCTCAAATTCCCCTCGACCACAGACTTCCCCAAAGGCGGGCTAAGAACGATGGGTACTGTAGTCTGGGACCACCTGAAGGGCATTGCATTGAGGAAGGTGCGAGATGGGATGGTCACAGGTTGGAACCGTAGAAATTCTGAACACCTGAAGTTGAGGGTCTTAAGGGGTCGGTCGGTACGACCGACCCCTTAAGACCCTCAACTTCAGGTGTCTAGAATTTCACCGGTTCCGACCTATGGGGACGGGATAGGAAAGAATCTCCGTTCGTCAGGCGGGAAGTAGGACTTTTTGAGTGGTAGGGAAGCCGAGAGCAGCCGGTGGACCACAATGTCCGGGAACCGGCGGATGGGCGACGTAAAGTGGGTGTAGAGAGGCACGTTGAGGGCGTAGTGCCGGAAGAGAGCCTCGTTGTTCAGCATGCCGGTGCAGAAATAGACCGCCATCTGCAAAGAGGGAGGACAGATCAGAAGCTACCGACAGGCAGGCTGGGAAGGAAGATGGCTGACAGGGAAAGAGCCGCAAAGTTTTAGGAAGAGCAGGATGAGGCGGGGAAGGGACACTCGGAGGCCTCTCTCCATCCCAGGGAACATCCAGGAGGTCTGGATGCCAGTCCAGGAAAAACTTTTTCTTACGGGGGCGTCCGTTATAACAGGGCTTTTCAACCTTTTCACCCATTGTACCACTTTTAGGATATGGCAACATCCGAGGACCACCAGTCGCCTAGCAAGGTGTCAAAAACTTGATAAAGTACAGGTAGTCCTTGACTTACAACAGTTCGCTTAGTGACGGTTTGAAGTTACAATGGCACTGAAAAAAAGGGCCCCCCAAGCCACAGCCGAGCAAGACACCTGCCTGCCCGCCCGGCGGTGCTCTTCCTCCTATCCGAGGTTTTCATTGTTGTGAGCATTTCTGTTGAGGATTGGCAGCGGGGGTGGGGTGGGGGGTGTTTGGTTTTTATTCCCCCCGTCTGCTGGGTGGTTGCAGCAGGTTTTGGTCACTTCAGATGACCCTGGGACACTGTGACCGTCATAAATATGAATCAGTTGCCAAGCATCTGAGTGTAAATCACAAGACCCTGGAGAGGCTGCAACATTCCAGCTGATCAGCGCTTCTTCTGGGCTCAGCAGAAGCGTCAGGATCAGTGCCGAGCTCCAGTTGGATCCTGGCGCTGATCCTGGTGCTTCCGCTGAGCCCTGACAGCCCTGCAGCTCCAGCTGTCTCTCGCTCCGGCTTGTGTGTTGCTGCCACCGGTTCAGCTCATTCCCCTCCCCCGCTATCCCTTTTCTAGGATGGTCGCGTACCACCTGCCAGGTGCCCATGTACCACAGGTGGTGCCCGTACCACTGGTTGAAAAGCCCTGCGTTATAAGACTTGAAGTCCACACGTCTGAAGTTTGATGAGGCTGGATACCCCCCTGCTTTATACTTTAATATAAATCAGACACCTCCTCTAAGCCGAGGCCCCCGAGATGGGTGGCCAATGTATTAAATAAAACAAGATAATTTTAAATTGAATCAATAAAATAAAATAAATTTAAATTGAATAAAAATGAATTTTAATTTAATTAATAAAACAAAATAAATTTGAACTGCATCAATAAAATTTGAACTGCATCAATAAAATAAATTTGAATTGAATCAATAAAATAAAATGTAATTTAATTAATCAAATAAATTTGAACAATCAATAAAATAAATTTGAATTGAATCAATAAAATAAAATTTAATTTAATCAAATAAATTTGAACTGAATCAATAAAATACAATTTAATTTAATTAATCAAATAAAATAAATTTGAATTGAATCGATAAAATAAATTTGAACTGAATCAATAAAATAAATTGGAACTGAATCAATAAAATAAAATTTAATTTAATTAATAAAGTAAAACTTGAATTGAATCAATAAAATAAGATAAATCGAATCAATAAAATAAATTTAAGTTTAAGAAAATAAATTTGATAAATAAAATAAAATAAATTTAAATTTAAGAAATAAAAAATAAATGTAAATAAAACAAAATAATTTTAAATAAAATGAAATCAATTTAAATAAAATAAAATAAATCTGATGAATAAAATAAAATACATTTGATGAGTAAAATGACCCTCCTTCCTACCTGCATGGGACGAGAGAACATGTTGGTCAGCACCTCCTTCCTCGCTTCGCTGTATTGGTCGTTCCCAAAGGTTTCATTCAGGCTTTTCTGGAAGAGAGAGAAACAGACACTGGAACTAGGAGGGAAGCCAACATTGCTAGTGATTGTGCATAGCTCCACATGCTGTTTTCCATGCTGTGGCCAGCCATGATCCCAACGAAGGTGTGTGTATTTCTGTTTGGTCTAGTGGTGAAGGCGCTGGTCTAGAAACCAGGAGATGGTGAGTTCTAGTCCCATCTTAGCCATGAAAGCTGGCAGAGTAACTTTGGACCAATCACCAGGAGGGGGCGAGTTCTAGTCCTGCCTTAGGCTAGGTCTAGGACTTAGCCCAGGGGTAGGCAACCTGGGCTCTTTTATGACTTGTGGACTTCAACTCCCAGAATTCCTGAGACAGCCATGCTGAGGGGAAAGGGAGAGGTTTCCAAGCTGAGCCATGCTGGCTCAGGAATTCTGGGAGTTGAAGTCCACGAGTCATGAAGGGGCCATAGTTCCCCCATGCTGGCTGAGGAATTCTGGGAGTTGAAGTCCACCAGTCATGAAGGGGCCATAGTTCCCCCATGCTGGCTCAGGAATTCTGGGAGTTGAAGTCCGCAAGTCATGAAGGGGCCATAGTTCCCTCAGGCTGGCTGAGGAATTCTGGGAGATGAAGTCCATGAGTCATGAAGGGGCCATAGTTCCCCCCTGCTGGCTGAGGAATTCTGGGAGTTGAAGTCCACGAGTCATGAAGGGGCCATAGTTCCCCCATGCTGGCTGAGGAATTCTGGGAGTTGAAGTCCACCAGTCATGAAGGAGCCATAGTTCCCTCATGGTGGCTCAGGAATTCTGGGAGTTGAAGTCCACCAGTCATGAAGGAGCCATAGTTCCCCCACGCTGGCTGAGGAATTCTGGGAGTTGAAGTCCACGAGTCATAAAAGAGCCAAGGTTGCCTACCTCTGACTTAGCCCTAAGGATGGGTAATGAAACATCTGTAAGAAAACAACTAAGCTCAGAGAGCCTTCTCCTCCTCCTCCTTGCCCCCTGATGGTGTTACCTAGTTGGGCAATGAAACGTCTGCAAGAAAACCACCAAGCTCAGAGAACACCAAGGACCCCACAGTCCTCCTCCTCTTCCAAGCCCAAACTTTTGCTGAATGCAGTGGGAGCCCACCTAACTGTCCCCCCTCCTTTGAAAATAAGCTTTTCTCCCCTCCGGCTCCTTTATACTCACGTGTAAGGCCCCAGCACTGGTGCACTCGATCTCCAGGCCCATCTGGTTGCAAAAGGCCATGAGGTCGTGGAGCATCTTGGTCTGGGGCGGGGGATGCCGACGCAGGAGGGCTTTGGCGGGAAAGGCACGGTAAATCCGATGGGCCACCGCCATGTTTGCCAGCAGCATAAATTCTTCCACCAGTCTGGAGCAAGCAGGGAAAAAGCAAAGAGGCGGGTGATGGGCTGCATCATCAGTATGTCCTGCAGGAGTTCAAGTGACCCTGAATTCTGGGGCTGACAGGAGACTAGACAGTCACTTGTCTGAAATGGCACAGGCTCTCATGCTCACGCAGGGGGCTGGACTAGAAGACCTCCCAGGTCCCTTCCAGCTCTATTCTATTCAAAGGAGTCATCTGGATGAAGGGACGAATGCTGGGCTTAACGGTCAAGGCTGCTGGCAGAACAGACTGTGGTTTACAAGGGTTGTTTAATACAGGTGACCCCTTCCCCATTCCAGCCTGACTTTTACAGCCACATCATCTGATGACAGGCGCTTGTGGGTTTGCGCTTGTGGGTCTGATGCTCGTATGGTTTGTGACAGAATTCGCAAACGCTCGTATTTCACCTGTCTAACATGAGCCCTTAGGCTGCATCAACCAAGGGATAGAATCAAGATCAGGTGAAGTATTAATACCACTTTACAAGGCCTTTGGTAAGGCCACACTGGGAATACCGCATCCAGTTTTGGTCACCACGATGTAGAAAAGATGGTGAGACTCTAGAACAGTGGTGGCGAACCTATGGCACGCGTGCCAGAGGCGGCACTCAGAGCCCTCTGTGAGGGCACACGCGCCGTTGCCCAGCCCTGCCTCCCCCTGCAGCCCCCCTGGAGGAGAGTTGCCCCCGGGCGCGGCCTGCACGGAGCAGCACAGCCAAGGACATGGCAGCCGGGCAGCAGGGACAAGACTCTGCCCTCGCGCCCCGTCATGCACAGTTGATGCTGCGGGGCGCGGGCGGAGGGCATGGACCGCCATGGTGCTGCAGGGCCGCCTGGGCCATGGAAGCGGTAGGTGGCCCTGGTGGCGGGCAGGGGGACCGGAGTGGGTGGGGCGGGGTTTTTTGGGGCACTCGGTGTCTAAAAGGTTCGCCATCACTGTTTTAGAAAGAGTGCAGAGAAGAGCAACAAAGATGATTAGGGGACTGGAGGCTAAAACATACAAGGAACGGTTGCTGGAATTGGGTTATGTCCAGTTTAACAAAGAGAAGGACGAGGGGAGACATGATAGCAGTGTTCCAATATCTCAGGGGCTGCCCCAAAGAAGAGGGAGTCAAGCTATTCTCCAAAGCCCCTGAAGGCAGGACAAGAAGCAACGGATGGAAACTCATCAAGGAGAGAAGCAACCTGGAACTAAGGAGAAATTTCCTGACAGTGAGAACAATTAACCAGTGCAACTCCTTGCCACCAGAAGCAGTGAATGCTCCAACACTGGAAGTTTTTAAGAAGAGACTGGACAGCCGTTTGTCTGAAATGGTAGCAGGGGGCTGGAGTAGAAGATCTCCAAGGTCCCTTCCAGCTGTATCCTATCCTATCCCATCCCATCCCATCCCATCCCATCCCATCCTATTCTTTCTCCTATTTTCTATTCTATTCTATTCTATTCTATTCTATTCTATTCTATTCTATTCAATTCTACTCTACTCTACTCTACTCTACTCTACTCTACTCTACTCTACTCTACTCTACTCCACTCCACTCCACTCCACTCCACTCCACTCCACTCCATTCTAGTACAGTGGTGGCGAACCTATGGCACGGGCGCCAGAGGCGGCACTCGGAGCCCTCTCTGTGGGCACATGTGCCGTTGCCCCAGCCTTGCCTCCCCCCGAGACCCCCTCCTCTCCAGCAGCCCCCCTGAAGGAGAGTCGCCCCTGAGTGTGGCCCACACGGAGCAGTGCAGCCAAAGACATGACTCTGCCCTCACACTCCATCATGCAGTTGATGCTGCAGGGCGCAGGCAGAGGGTATGGCTGCCATAGCGCTGCTGGGCTGCCTGGACGATCGGTGGGCCCTGGAGCCGGTGAGTGGTCCTGTGGGCAGGCGGGGTGGGGGATGGGGGGCAGAGTGGGGGCGAGGCAGGGGGATGGAGCGTGGGCGGGGCTAGTTTTTGGGCACTCGTTCTCTAAAAGGTTCGGCATCATTGTTCTAGTATTTCCTTTATATGTAAAATATCCCAAGGCTGATGCTATGTAATGGAACCACCACTGGGTGGCAGCGTTGTTCCCCTTTTTGCACAGACTCCTCTTGTATGAGATCCCACAAAAAAAAAAACGGTCATGTGAACCTGCTCAGGTTTCCAGCCGCACTAGAGGCTCCAAAGACAGATGGCAAACAAGGACTTTTTAGCTCATCTTGTGCCAGAAAGTCCCAATCTTTAGAGACCCCTGAGCCCATCTGGAAATCAGATAGCCTGTTGTGGGCACACTCACAAAACAAAACAAGCAAACATAGATCTCTGGCTGCCGAACACTGGCAGCCAAACAAGCAAACAAAGATGATTGCCGAACACTGGCGGCCAAACAAGCAAACAAAGATGATTGCCGAACACTGGCGGCCAAACAAGCAAACAAAGATGGCTGCCAAACACCGGCAGCCAAACAAGCAAACAAAGATGGCGGCCAAACAAGCAAACAAAGATGGCGGCCGAACACTGGCAGCCAAACAAGCAAACAAAGATGGCGGCCGAACACTGGCGGCCAAACAAGCAAACAAAGATGGCTGCCAAGAGAACAGGGTGCCCTGTTCACAAGTTGACTGCTGTCAGGGGTGAAACCGTCGTTTAGAACAACAATTCTCAACCCTGGCAACTTGAAGATGTGTGGACTTCCAATTCCCAGAATTCCCTGGCCACGGAGGGAATTCTGGGGGTTGAAGTCCATCAATTCTGGCTGGTTAATTCTGGGAATTGAAGTCCACAGCTCATCTTAAAAGTTGCTAAGTTTGAGAAAACACAATTCCAGGGAAGGAGAGATGGTTGCCTCCAGAGTTAATCTGGATCGTGAAAACATTTTTTCCCCCCCTCACAATCCAGCTTTGATCATGAGGACGTTTTTTCCTGATACTCATCCAACCTCTGACTTCCTTTAATTTAAACGTGATTTTTCTCATGAAAATGCTGGGCAACCTTCATCCTTTAGATCTGCTGGTTGTGCATGAGCACCTGCCAGCCAAGCAACTGCTTCTTCTAAGGTTTATCCTTCATCCTCTCCTGCTTGAACAAAGGGGCTGGACTAGAAGGCCTCCAGGGTCCCTTCTATTCTATTCTATTCTATTCTATTCTATTCTATTCTATTCTATTCTATTCTATTCCATTCCATTCCATTCTATTCTCTCTTCTCTTCCAGTCCAGTCTCTATTCTATTCTATTCTATTCTATTCTATTCTATTCTATTCTATTCTATTCTAATCTAATCTAATTCTATTCTATTATTCTAGTCTAGTCCAGTCTCTATTCTATTCTATTCTATTCTATTCTATTCTATTCTATTCTATTCTATTCTATTCTATTCTATTCTATTCTTGTTCTGTTCTATTCCTTTTTTCTATTCTATTCTATTCTATTCTATTCTATTCTATTCTTGTTCTCTTCTATTCCTTTTTTTTCTATTCTATTCTATTCTATTCTATTCTATTCTATTCTATTCTATTCTATTCTATTCTATTCTATTCTATTATTCTATTCTATTCTATTCTATTCTTGTTCTGTTCTATTCCTTTTTTCTATTCTATTCTATTCTGTTCTGTTCTATTCCTCCATACCACATCTAAGTTTTTGTGGTTCAATTGTGTGGTAAATGCTTCTCCAATGACAAGTTTAAGGATGTGTACTTCAACCAGGTCCAGCTTGGATGCCCTCTGTCGGTCAGTAGATCCCGAGATCTTGCCCATTCTAGGTTACTGTTCCCGCCATATCGGCCAAGCCAAACCTGGTACCCAGCATGATGGGATCCATCCCATCAAAGAATTAAGATTTGAACTCGGTACAACCTCTGCCACTTTTAAGATGGGTGGACTTCAGTTCCCAGAATTCCCCAGTCGTAACTGCTGTTCCTTCTTCTTTCTATCAAATATATTCACCATGGCTGGCTGGGGAATTCTGGGAGTTGACGTCCACCCATCTTAACAGTGGCAGAGGTTGAGAAACACACCGTTTCAAGTTGTCCGTTTTGCTTCCCTGCGGTGTTCGTGTGTGTGTGTGTGTGTGTGTGTGTGCATTCAAGTTTGTGCACAGGCTGGGCCTTATGCTCCATTAAGATTAAAAAAAATCACTGATGGAAAAAATACAGGACATCATGGTTCATTAACTTTTTTTCAAAGACTCGACCAATGATTGGACTTTGATGGCTTCAGGGCCCGTTTATTGCCTTACATTAAACTGTGACAGAAAAAAACACAATGAATATATTTGATATAAAGAAAAAGAACAGCAGTTATCGTCTGAGTCACCTCCCTCCCACAGAAACTGAATTAAGCAATCAACAAAAATCATTAGTATCCGGTTCAACCCGGTGCACAATGCCGTGAATTCTGGGTTGTGCTAATGAGATGTACAAGTACTCCTTAATAATAATAATAATAATAATAATAATAATAATAATAATAATAATAATAATAACAACAACAACAACAACAACAACGTTGGAGGGGACCTTGGAGGTCATCTAGTCCAACCCCCTGCTCAGGCAGGAAACCCTATACCATTTCGCACAAATGGCTGTTCAGTCTCTCCTTAAAACCTTCCAGTGTTGGAGCATTCACCGCTTCTGGAGGCAGGCTGTTCCACTGGTTAATTGTTCTCACTGTCAGGAAGTTTCTCCTTAATTCCAGGTTGCTTCTCTCCTTGATTAGTTTCCATCCGTTGCTTCTTATCCTGCCTTCAGGCGCTTTGGAGAATAGCTTGACTCCCTCTTCTTTGGGGCAGCCCCTTCTCTTCTCTTTTCTCTTCTCTTTTCTCCTTTTCTTTCTCTGAGTTTTCAAATGAACCGTCTTAACCCACTTAACCCACTTCCTTCTTTCCTTCCTTCCTTCCTTCTCTTTCTTTCTTCCTTTCTTTCTTTCTTTTTTTTCTTTCTTTCTTTCTCTTTCTTTCTTTTTCTTTCTTTCCTTCCTTCCGTCCTTCCTTCCTTCCCCTCCCCTGCCTTCCCT